TGCCTGGCTGCACGTCGGCGTTTCCTCGGGCTCGCGGCGAGTCCATCAGATCACCCGAGATCCCACCCCGTGGACCCCGACCACCACGCTCAGCGCCAAAGGTTGCACTGTTTCTGACCCCCTCTCTTTGTTGCGGGCTGAAGGCGCTCGCTTCAGTGCTGCGTGGGGCCAGGGTTCGGGGGTTGAGCCTTCGGGGGAAATCTTGGAGCCGCTTCCTCGTCTCAGCGTCGATGAGATTAGAGCTGCCTCCAAAAGGTATAAGCCTGGTTCTGCCGTGTCCCTGGACGGGTTCCACTGTCGCCATTTCTCGCTCCTGGGAGATCCAGCGCTGGAGTGTCTCAGCATGGTGTTTGCTCTCATTGAAGGCCTGGGTTGCCTGCCGCCCCAGATTTCGGTCGTCTTTCTTGCTCTCCTCTCGAAGCCTGCTGGGGGCTACAGGCCGATTGGGGTGTTCTGCTCTTGGTACAGGGTTCGGGGGCGTCTCCGACGCCCCCTTGCCCTGGCCTGGGAGCAGCAACACCCCAGACGGTACTGGGCCGCTGGCAGACATCGAGGGGCCGCCGACGTCGTGTGGAGACAGGCCGTTCGGTCCGAATCTGGCGTCAAGAGGGGAGATGCCGCCTGCAGTGTCCTCTTCGATCTTCGTAAACTTTACGAACACATCCCCTTGGCCGCCCTGCAAGAGAGATGTGCTCGGCATGGGTTCCCGCCTGTCATTGCTAGGGTGGCTCTTTTTGCCCACCGGTGTGGGCGCTTCCTCAGCTTGGGAGGCATCGTTGAGGGCCCCTTTTTTGTTTTGAGTGGAGTGGTGGCGGGCTGCAGCTTCGCCACCACTTTCATCCGTGTTCACGGGATGGAGGGCTATGACAGGATCACTCGCCAGCCCATCCTTGAGCTCGATGTTTACATCGACGATCTTGGCCTTTCGAGCGTTGGTCCCCCCTCGAAGGTCATTGCCGCTGTGGTTGGCTGTGCGCAGCAGTTGAAGGGTGTGGTGGAAGAGGTTCTGGGTTGCAGTTTCGCCCTGGACAAGACCTGTATCGTTGCCTCGTCGCGTGCCGTGGGGGAGCAGGTGTCGTCCCAGTTGGCCGAGCTCTCGACCCAACCCTCGTCTTCTGCCGTCAACTTAGGTGTTGACTACACCGCTGGTCGCGCGCTCAGGGTAGGTGGTCGGTGTGCCAAGCTGAAGTCTAGGCTTGCGGCCGCCTGTAGGCGCACCAAGCGGCTCCGTAGACAGAATAAGGTGCTCAAGAGGGGCGCCATCATCAAGGTTTTTTCGGCTGGCCCCTTGGCGGGCGCCAGCTACGGGAGCGAGATCACTGGGACCTCCGACCATGACCTCCTCCCCCTCCGCAGGAAACTTTTCGGATCGGTTCGTCCTCTCTCGAAGCTTCGTTCGCTCACCACCTCGGCCATCCTCGATTCGGACCCTTGTTGGAGAACCGCGTGCTCTCCCATAATTCGGTGGTCGAAGGAAGTCTGGCTGGCTCAGGTGGGCGAGTTCCCCTGGGCGATCGGTCTCCCAGAGCTCAGGCGAGCTTGGACGAACATTTTTAGCCAGGAAGCGTGTTCCTGGCGCAGTGTGGCTGGCCCCGTCTCTGCCCTGCGCATGTCGCTCTCTCGGATTGGTTGGGTGATGACGGATTTCATGACCATTAGAGACGACCGTGGCTTCGTCATCCCTCTTGGTCTGTTCTCCACTGCCCTTGTCAAAAAAACTGTGCAAAGAGGCCTACTTGCGCATGTTGGAGAGGGACTCTGCGGCCAAACGAGGGGTTAAGCACCGGCTGTGTTATGACATTGTCAAAGAAGCTCTTGCCAGCAGCAAGTGCAGCGCTCTCGAAAAGGGTAGGATCCGAGCTTTCGCCACTGAAGCCTTCCTCACTAAGGAGCGTGCGCTCCAGCTGGGCTACCAGACGGATGTTGAGTGCCAGTTCTGCGGAGAGCCTGACAATATTTTCCATAGGCTGCGGAAGTGTCAGGGTGATTGTATCGTTGAAAAACGCAACTCATTGGTCAAGGCTGAAGAAATCGCGGCCGCGCTCGAGGCTGAAGGTAGTGATAGGTCTGTTTTGCTCCCGTTCATCTCTGGGGCTTTCGCCCATCCCGCCGACTCCAGCCCGAAGCCCGCGACGGATGCTGATCTCCCCTGTAGGTGGCCCCCTAGACAGGCAGCTCTGGGGGCCCCTCTTTATAGACGGCTCGTGCACCCGTCACCCCATCCGTGAATTAAGTCGGGCCGCGTCTTGCGTGGCCATGGTTGACTCCGCCGGTAGGTGTGTTGCCGAATTCAGAGCCCCTGTCTGGGCGCCCTATCCCCAGACCCCACAGAGCGCTGAGTTTTCGGCCTACACGTGGGCCCACATGCTCGGCATTCCAGGCCACACCTCGGCCCTGTCTGATTGCCTCAATGTTGTAAAGATCGCTGACCTGCCTAAGGCGGCCCATCTTTCTGGTCAGCGCATGTACGCTGGGGCCTTCCTCCAGTGTTACTCCACCGCGTCCTCCCTCCTCCCTGTGGAAAAAGTTGCTGCTCATAAGGACCTCGATGAGCAAGGCATCTCCAGTGAAGAGAGATGGCGTAGGCAAGGCAACTATTGGGCCGATGTTGGTGCTAAGCATGCTGTCGACTTGCATCCCAGCTCGGCTGAAGCCAATGTTGCTACGGACAAATTAATCAAGGCGGCCCGCTGCACCTTGCGCCTCGCGGCCCGCCTCCTGCCCTTGTGGGACCCCATAGACTTGTCGGGTGTTGAATTGCTTAGGAAGCCCTCGGCCGCCTCAGCGCCTGTGCCACATGTCTGGAGACCCTGGGCTGGAGCGTGGAGATGCGAAGTTTGTTTGCGCGGCACTCGAGCCCTCGACGAGCCCCCTCCTGGTTCCTGCAGTGGTCGCAGTAAACTTGACGAGGGCCGTCTCACGGCTCTTGAGCATCGTGTTTTAGCGTTTGACTGTTCTGACAGCAGCTTTTTATTCATCTGTGTGCGTTGCCACTGTCACTCCTCGGGCCAGTGCGTTCGCGGTTTGGCTGTGAAATGTGTTGGCCGTCCGGCCAAGGCCACTCGGTCGGGCTGGAACACGTCGTGCAAACGAGGCCTGCACCCCCAGTACAGCAAGAGGGAGGTCAGGGTCCACACAGGTAACATTATGAGCCTGTTCAGCTCCGTGGATGGAGTCCATGAGCCTGCCGAGGAGGAGGAGGAGGTCCCCACTCCCTCGGTTGAGCCTCCCCCTTCCCCGTCCTCGGAGGTGGAGGAAGCTCGCAGCAAGCGCCAGGCCGTCCTGGCCCAGCGCCTGCTGGCGGCTGCCCGAACAGGCTCCTTTCGGCCCTCATCGGGCTAGTCGGCTCTCCTGGCCACCCTTTTTTCGGCCCAGGTGTCTGCCGTGGCGAGTTTTCCTCGCCTTTTCCTTTTCTGCCTGCAGGGCTCGTGTTGGATTTTCGTCTGACACATCGGTCCTGCTGGCACACATCTGTCCCTTTCCCCCCGCAGTAGAGGGCCAGGCAGAATGTTGCGGCGCAGAGCGTGGAGCTCAAAAAAAAAACTTTACCAAATATACACATCATATTACAGACGAGTTGCCAGGACGATACCTTGCTTATCCCCCCAGAAACCCGAACTTGATTATCCCCACCTTGCGATTACTAGGGGTCTTCGGTTAGCCATCTGTGTATCCAGAGCCCCCTACCACAGTCAAGACGGCGAAAAGTGGACCACTTTGGATTCGGGATGGGCTCGCCGTTCGTCAGGTCCTTCCATGGTTGCTCCTCCAACACTCCTCGCGCACCCAAACTCCTTTGGGCCAAGCAGGAGGTGCGTTCCGTATAAAGCTCAGCACGGGAAGAGCTACCCTAATTTTCCAGGGTTGGCCGGGAGGGTTGGCCGGGGTCGGATGGAAGGTTGGCTGGAGTTGATTGCAGGATTGGTTGGGGCAGCTCTTCGATAGCCAGTTCTGACGACCGTATACAGATGGTTTGCTTGAGGAAGCAGTAGCATCTTGACTGTACACTGGAAACCCATGCCAAGAAACATCCTGCTTGCCTCCAGGGTGCCTTCGGTTTTGTGGGTCCCGACGGTTCTGCCACAGAAAACGTGACGTTCCCACACCCAAAATCAATGGGCGTCGTGGGGTTCCAGAGTTGTTGGGTTTCTTGTGGCAAGTTTCTTGTGGTCGAGCTCCTACAGTATGGCCCCTGCCCTACGAACCTCGTCCTCCAGGTTTCGCACGGCGCGCAATAGTTCTGTGATCTAGTCCACACGGCCGCTCCGTAAGGTAGGCTCGACGTTCGCGCGGCGATGCTCCGACGTAAGTCCGAAATGAATCCGACGTTGACGTTAATCCCACGCAAATCCGACGTGAAAGGTTAATCCGACGTGGATCCGACGTACATTTGGCCTCAAGTTGCCGCGCGAGACCTCCATGATGTTCCTTATAACCTTCTTGTGGCTGACGCTCAATATGATGATGCTGCAGATGATGGTGGTGATGCTGATGCTGTTATTGATGCTTCTGTCGATGATATGGTTGACGATGACGCTTCTGCTGATGATGACGATGGCGATGATAATGATAATGATGATGTTGGAAAGTTATGGTGATGCTGATGATGATGGTGATGCTGATGATGATGAGGAGGAGGATAGTGATGACGACGAGGACCACGATGACGATGACGATGGCGTTGATGACGATTATGATGCTGATCATGGTGCAGATGCTGCTGATGATGATGATGATTCGGATGGTGATGGCAATGACGATGACGGTGACGATGCTGCTGATGATGATGATGGTGGTGGTGATGATGATACTGATGTTGCTACCCATGCTCCTGCTGATGGTGATTCTGATTATGATTATGCTGCTAAAGTGATGATGATGGTGATGATAGTGATGATGATGATGAGGAGGAGGAGGATGAGGATGAGGATGAGGATGATGATGAGGATGATGATGAGGTTGACGATGATGGTGATAACCTTCCTGTAGCTGCCGCTCAGGCCCACCGTACGGCCCGCCAGAGTGGGACGACCGCGCGAGACGCAGGCCGAGAGGCGGGCTCCGCGCGCCCAAGCCCGGCCTCGCCGAGCACTGCCACGGCGGCGGTGACGGCCACGGCCACGGCGACGACGGCGGCGGTCGACTCGATGGACGATGCTACTTCCTTGAGCTGGAGCTGCGGAAAGTTTAACGATCACACAGCAATTTGACGACGCGAAGGCAGTGCGACGCCGCTAGAATGATTGGCTCCACGTACTGTCGCTCGTATATACGATGCAGGAACATGACGACAGCGCGCTCCGTACATGTGATCTTTCATGCCAACATTGGTGCTAGCAATAATTAGCCAAGACCTCAAAGTTCGAGGGCACATCTTGGTGAAGAGGCAAGTACTGGCCGTGATCATCCTCACAGACATCTCTCAAGTCCTCAACCTGTCTTTCGAAGTTGCGCATCGGTCCTGGCCTGGGCACCAGTGGTGCTGTCGGTTCTGACACTGGAGGGAACTAATCAGTTGGCATTTGCATGCCGCGGCCAAAACCACCCTGGTATGCTGGAGGACGCGGGGTAAACGGAGTTTGCAAGTCCACGAGGAGCGTTTGGCAGGTACAATATTCAGGGTAAGGAGGAAATGCAAGGACAAATGCACGCATATAACCTCGCATGTAGTATGAAATGCGCGGTGGTATTGGGATTAGGAGGAGGCACGATCAGATCTCTCGTCCGAAACAACTCGATGGATGATGCTTCTCCCTTGAGCTGTAGCTGTGAAAAGTTTCACGATCACACAACAAGTTGACGATGCAATGATTGGCTGTGACGGCGACGGCGCTGGCGGCGGCGGCGACGACTCCGAGGCCCAGCCCCCGCCGTCGAGAATTTAGAAATTAGAAACACCTTGCCCCATTCATGTTCAGGTCGCCTCTTGATTCGGAGGCGGTGCGCCTTCTGCTTTTGTTTGCCCGTTTCTGGGTTTTCGTTCGCAAGTACCCGGTGTTGCGAGTGGGCGTCGTTGCAGTTCGACCAAGTTGGGCGTCGGATAGAATGACCATCGTTGCGTACATGTTTTTTTCAGGTCACGCGGCGGAGGTTCGACGAAGGTTCTTTCCTGATGGAAATTTGGCCAGGAGAAACCGCATGCGAACGTTCCAAACATTAATCTTACATACGATTCTAGAAGAACTGCGACTTGCGTTTGTAAGGTCATGCGCCCGTGATGATTGCATAACAATATCGTGTGTTTTAATACGTGTTTTTGTTTCTTCAATAATCCCTGTTTTAGAACAGTCCGTGTTCAATTAGATGCCGCAGTGGGATTTGGGGACCCCGTCGCCGCGGGAGGGCGCACGCTCACAGTGGCAGTGGGCTCAACCGAAGAGACAGCAATGACGCAATCGGTGACTGAACCGCGCGGAGAATATTGCAAGCTCCACGTGCGTTCGCAGCGAGGGGTGCATGCGCGGTCTGCGCGGGCCTATTGCAGGCGTGTTCCACGCGATGGTGCGGATCGGAACATAATTCCCAAATGAGCTCCACGTTATTCTAAACGGGGGTGGGGTCTACGATTGTCAAGACATTGTGGCCGGCGCCGCCGACCCTGAGAGGGAACGACGACAATGGCGGCGGCACCGGCGACGACGACGTTGACGTGCGTCAGACTCCTCATGGATGCTTCTCGGGGTCTCGTCGAAGCGCTTTCGGCCTTCGGGGGGCAGCTTAGGGGCCTCTTGGGAGCCTCTTGAGGCCGTGCCCCGCCCAAGGTCCCAGCGGCGCAGTTCGCACGGCGCCGCCCTCCCATCTGAGCACGCCCCTCACACGTGTGGCCCCACGAGAGCTCCACCTAAGGCCGCAGTGGCGCAGTTCGCATGGCGCCGCCGCCCCATTTTGGCACACCCCTTCACGCGCTTCGCGGCCCCATCGGGAGCCCCACCTAAGGTCGCAGCGGCGCAGATCGCATGGCGCCGACGCCCCATCTGAGCACGCCCCTCACACGTTTCGTGGCCCCACGAGAGCTCCACCTAAGGTTCCACTGGCGCAGTTCGCATGGCGCCGCCGCCCCATACTGGCACACCCCTCGCGCGCTGCGTGACCCCATAGGGAGCTCCACTTCAGGTCCGTGTGGCGCAGTTCGCATGGCGCCGCCGCCCCATATTGGCACACCCCATCACGCGCCTCGTGGCCCCACAGGGAGCCCCACCTAATGTCTCAGTGGCGCAGTTCGCATGGCGCCGACGCCCCATTTTGGGACATCCTTCGCACGTTTCGTGGCCCCACAGGGAACTCCGCTTAAGATCCCAGTGGCGCAGTTCGCATGGCGCCGCCGCCCCATTTTGGCACACCCCACGCGTTTCGTGACCCCTCCCAACGGCGCAGTTAGCATGGCGCCGACGCACCATTTTGGCACACCCCTCACAGGTTTCGTGGCCCCATACGGAGCTCCACCTTAGGTCCCAGTGGCGCAGTTCGCATGGCGCCGCCGCTCCATACTGGCACACCCCATCACGGGCTTCGTGGCCCCATAAGGAGATCCACCTAAGGTCCCAGTGGCGCAGTTCGCACGGCGCCGCCGCGCCATTTTGGTACACACCCCACACGTTTCGTGACCCCAGAGGGAGCTCCACCTTAGGTCCCAGTGGCGCAGTTTGCATGGCGCCGACGCCCCATTTTGGCACACCTCTCACACGTTTCGTGGCCCCACGAGAGCTCCACCTAAGGCCGCAGTGGCGCAGTTCGCATGGCGCCGCCACCCCATTTTGGCACACCCCTTCACGCGTTTCGTGGCCCCAAAGGGAGCTCCACCTCAGGTCCCAGCGGCGCAGTCTGCATGGCGCCGCCGCCCCAGTTTGGCACACCCTTCACACGTTTCGTGACCCCGCAGGGAGCTCCACCCAAGGTCCCAGTGGCGCAGTTCGCATGGCGCCGCCGCCCCATTTTAGGACAGTCCTTACACGTTTCGCGGCCCCACAGGGAGTTCCACCTAAGGTCCGGGCAGGGCCCCGCAGGGCGCATCGAGTTCTTCCTGGCAGGGCGCGGAAGCAGCTGGGGCAGCTTGCCACGCGCACGAAGCGGCGCGGGAGGGAGGCGGCGGCCCTCGCCGGGGAGCTGAACCAAGTGTATCCGCGAGGCTTGACCTGAGGAGCGGCCCGCCCAGGCCTCGCCGTCTCTCGACGGTATGACTGGTTGGCCTCGCGCCGCGGGCGACCCGCGCGCCGCTGGGACCTTCTCGGGGCGACCAGCGCGCGTCGCGGGAATTCCGCGCTGCGCTCTGCCCAGAGCCTCGCTCGCCCCCGTCGTCGCTGTGCCCAGCGGCCGCAGCCTTGCCCGCTATCGGCTAGCCAGCTAGCTCTCCCTGCTCCGCGCAGCGGACGACCCGCGCGCGTCGCCGGGACCCCTCTGGGGCAACCAACGCACGTCGCGGGGACTCCGTGCGGCGCCGCGCCCGCAGCCTTGGACGTGGGCGTGCACGGGCAAGGAGGGAGAAAAAGAACGGGAAGGAAGCGGGCGCGATCTTCGTGAGGAACGTGCCGACATGGGCGTCGCGGCGTGCGGGCGTTGCTGTCGGGGTTCCAGGGGAAGCTTCTCGCGGCGGCCACGCTCAGTGTCACGAGTACTCAGGGTCAGGCATACGTGAACCATCCACGTTCGTATATTTATATGTTTATATATACACATACGCGCACCAGGCGTGGCCATGCTCGCATTCATGCAAACCTACGTAATGGCACGAGACTCGTTCGCGCTCGACTCACTCGTGCCCAGACCCACCCGCGCTCACTCTGTTTTAATTCGACCTATCGTCTTCGTTTGTGTCGTGTACCCTCGCCACGCAAGCTGGCGCACCCCATGCGGTTCGTGGCCCCATACGGAGCGCCGCCGAAACAGATGTTTACAACTGCGGTACTCAAGCCTGCATATGGTCGGGTCCTTCGCCAGGCTAATTTGTTCGTGCTGTTTTGCAGGTTTTCCTCGTCGAAGAAATTTTTCCCGGCGAAGGACCCAAACATATGTAGTTGTGAGTAACGCGTTGTGGGTGCCGCTTCCGGTGGGCCCCGCAACGCGTGATGGGGCGTGCTGTAGGGGGGGGGGGGCGCATGCGGGCGGTCCCACTTGGGCTTTCGGTGGAGCCCCCTATGGGGCCACGACGCGCTGTAGCGGGCTGTGGAGACGCATGCGGGCGGTGCCAATGGGGCTTTCGGTGGCGCCCGCATATGGGGCCACGAAGCGTTGTACTGGGTGGGGGGGCGCATGCGGGCGGCCCCACTGAAACCTTCGCTGGAGATCCCTATACACCGCACTCACATCTATACCCCTGGGTGGGTGTATGTGCGGCCGTTTTTGCGCTGTCATGTGCGCGCATGTGCGCGGCATGTGCCAGTCATGTGCCAGGCCTGTGCGGTCCTTCTTGGATGGACTTCCTACTGTGCACGTCGTGCCCGGGCATGTGCGGGGGCATGTGCGCTGTGTTTTGATGTATCCATCATACGCACATGCACGCACAGTCCGACGCACATGCGCGCACATGCCTGCACATGCGGGAGGTGTTCGAGAATCGCAGATCTGTCATCGGCACATGCACGCACATGCCTGTGCAACCTCTCTTCGGGAGGCCGCGCGGGCCCGCACATGCACGCACATGCGGTGAAGCGCGCGGGCGCACATGCGTGCACATCCCAATGCACATGCACGCTCATGCCCTAGGAGCTGTCTGGGACCCCTGTGCCTCCAATGCCTCCTGGCCTTCGCAGAGCTAACCTGGGGCGTGCCAGGGCTTCCTGAAAGAGTTTGTTGTGCGTTTAGACTCGCCCGCTGCTGGCGGGGGCGGTTATTCGCCCGGTTCGTGAGCTGGCGGTGGCGCGCCCGCCTAATAAAATACTCTCCCGCGCGCCTTCTCAGCTCGGCCGGAGAAGCAGGGATGGGGGGGGGGGAGGTGGAGGGGGGGGGGGAGGAGGGGGGGGCGGAGGAGGCGGGCGCCCCCGGCCACTGGCCAGCCTGCCTGTTCGGCTCGGCCAGAGGAGAAGGAGGAGGAGGAGGAGGAGGAGGAGGAGGAGGAGGA